CTGTTTCTGTGCCTGTGCTACATGTATTAATAGTATATTAGCCCACGACTGTTACGTTGCTGAACTTGAATTAGCTTGCAGCTGAGGCCTTAATGAAATAAATGCTGTCTAAACCTATAGCGACCACCAAACACTGCTAGGTCACTGTCTTACAGGTTCTCTACAATGGCTGGGTTATACAGCTATTTAGGTAAAAAGTTGTCGGAAAAAAAGTGCACGACAATCCCAAAAGGCATTGTGGGTGGTTGTGAGTTCACTGTTCTTCAGAGAAATTTGGAAAGAATTGGCATGAAAGGCCATGAAATGTGTTTATGAGTGCTAAAGTAAAAAAAAAAAGTAGGGTTTGACAGCTAAAAAGTCACAGAAACAGTGTGATCATATCCCATATTACCTTTCAGGATTGTGGGTGCACATTTTCCGACAACCTTTCTCGAGATAGCTGTATGTTAAGCTACCACCATTCAAGTAGGTGTAGCCCATGTGTAGCAGGGCACCTGGCAAAGTTATCCTTAAGTGGTGAGAAATCAAACAGCTGTACAACAAAGGGAGGCCCTGAAACTTATGAGTCATCAGAGTTACTCCTGGTTGATTTAGCGGTGAGCATCCAAAGACTCTTTGCATTTGCACAATCTGCAGAGAGTCTCATGTGTTTTCCTCATTTTCCAAGATTTCACGTAATTTGTTCCAATTTCATAAATGTAAATATGCCGTTTTATTTTGCATATCTCTTTCTACAGAATTTAAAAGGGTATGTCATCTAGTCAAGTCAGGAACTGTTTAGAGATCTGACACCAGGATGTAAAGCATGCCTCTACTTTTACTTCAACTTGCAGACCAACACCTGTGTGACCTGGCCAACTTATTTTTTATCAAATAGAGTTGCGAAGAAGTGTGGCGATCCATAAAAATGAAATTTGTGAGTGCTAGGTTTGTTAAGCTATTCTATGAAAGTAAGTCCAAGGCCTACTGGCAAAATTAGCAATTTGGGGCCAAATTGCCTCTGAAATATTAGCCCAGTTGTGCTCCGATGGCTCCTTCCGTCCTTCTAAAATCTTACCTGGTTCCTAATCTTGTAGACCGGCCCAAATTTAGAGGTTGTATGCGATCATGGATATCTCAGACATTGGTGCTGGTGGCCAGTGCGTCTGGGCAGGCTCTGCTGCATCCTAAATTCATTTTATCACGCCATCACCTGTACCTATTAACATCACAACAGGGCGTGCTCAGCTATAGAGTTGAACCTCTGCAAAAGTGACCACCCTCAGGGTATCAGCAAGTGGCTGCCCTAATGGAGGTTGGGCAGAGGGTTGTCATAAATTAGCGTTTACAATCTTTAGTAGAACATCACCTTATTTTAGAAACAAACGTCCGGTGGGAAAAGCAGTACTGGTCTATAACGTTGTCACCCTCTATCTGGACTGTATTTTTTCATCATGGCGCTTAAAGTGAAGCCAAACTGTTGTATCAAGCACCGTGGCAGCTAAATGGGGTGACAACTATGGAGAGTTCTCGTTGGGATGCCCAAGGTGGCAGCGGTCGGTGAATGGTGGTGGGGCCACCATTAGTTTAATTTCCATTCTTTTCTACAATTATGGGACTTGAGAGGAAGACGCTAATAGGGTGGCCACTGAATAGAGGGATCAACAAGCTAAAATCAGTGCAATGCAATGTCATGTATCTAAGATACAAAAACATTTCTTAGTTTGCATGTAACATTTATGATTATTAAATTTCAAAATAAGAAATATATAATAATATATACTAGTTTGCTAGTTGGAGCACTCTGGAATGGCTAAGATGATACCACATTTTTTGGGATCATTTGGGGTGGCTTTATAGCTTAACCTCCATCCTAGCAATCAGCACTGCACTGATGAGGCCCAGAAGGCGAAACAGTACTGTCTGCAGGTAAATCCTTCTTCGGTTTTAGTTTATCACCTATTAGAGATGTAAAGAGGATCATCGCTTTTTTTTTTGCAGTTTAAAAGGAAGCCTGTGAAACCCAGGCTTGTACAGGATTAGAACCCTTGATCTCTTTAATACTCAGGTGCAGTGATCCAACCAACTGAACCAACAAGCTAATTTATTGGTAGCTGGACATTCAGTCAGTTTGTACACATTATATAATAAATATTAGAGCTTTTGAACACCTAATTTTACACAAATATGTAGTTCAATCTTTCCTTCTAATGTTTTTTTAATAGCTTTTGCTTTCAAAATGGTTACAAAGAAAGTTGTCACAACAGTGAAAAAATAACCTGTCTAGTTCTATTTTTTTTTTGCTGTCTAAACAGTCCTTACATAAGAATAAGTATAGAATGAAAGCATGGTTTGAACTTCGTCACATGGGACAATAATTGTCCCATGTGACCAGAATTATTCTTTGTTCTTGTTTGACTAACCTTTTCATTAAATATTTTAATTCTTTAAGTTTAAACTGACCCAATTAAGATGTGTGCATTCTGCTTGTGTCCAAAAATTTATGTACTCATGACCTTTAATTAACTTTTTTAAGATAGATAGAGCTACAGCATATACTTTAATATTTCAATAAAGATGTCTTAACTGAATCATTCTTGATCTTGTTCTTTTTTTCTTTTCCTTTCCTTTTTTTATTTAAATTTTCTCCTCTTAAAATTATTTTAATGCACAGCCCTAGGCAAAATTTGTATGGGAGAAAGCATTGGCATTTTGAACTGAACACTAAGCAAGACCACAGACATCTCTGTCCCTAGCCTGCATAGCAGGCACTTGGATGTAGTGGGCGCACAAGAGGCTTCCTCTCCCCTCGCGTGTCTCTCTCTCATGTGCCTGTCATTTCTTGTCCCCACTACTTCCAAGCACCTGCTACGCACGCTACTTTGTCCCTTTCACATGAAAGTGCCCTTCCCAAGTGTTAGGGTAAAGGTCTCCCTGTTTTCATTTTTTGGACTTGGAGAGCAGGATTTGAGTCCCATGAACTGTAGCCTGTGAAAGCAGATGTATTTCCGGTTGACACAAAATAAAGTCTGTGAACCTGACCCGCCAAATGATTTCTGTGACATAGGACATTATTAGCCAATGACAGTTTAGCTCTTAAGAACCAGGAGGGAAGTGATGACTGGAAATTCGTCTGCATTCGCAGGCAGCATGAACTGGGACTCAGCCCACAAACGTTACCTTATGATCTGGAGAAAATCTTTCGTGCTTCTTTTGGGATTTTGCGTGTTGGCGATATAGGTTTTTGCGAACAATGAGACACACCTACCCTACTCCCCCTGAGGCTGTGAATAAAAGCGAGGCATCACGGGACAAGAAAATGGCGCTTGATCAACCGGTAGTATCTCTTTGAGTAAGTGGCGATAAAATAATTTGTTTTCCCTTGACTGATGCTGTTTGAAGTTACGAGTGGGATTAACTTAAATAGCATACAAGCGAACCGTGGAAAATAGGACCGTAGAAGACTATCACTGTGCCGCTGTTTCAAAATTCTTCCCAGTTATACATGTATTTCCTCAACTGTGGCTGAAGAACTCAAGAGCAATATTAATATTGTGACATAGGCAAGGGTATACTCAACAAAATGAAATTTATCAACCAGGAAAATTTGAAAGGAATAGAAACCAAAATATCGCGAGAAATCTGTCTTCCCGGCGAGTAGTTTATTCAGCTATTAATGGCTTGGTATTACGGAGTGAATAACTCGGACCTGTATGGATCGAATTTCTCGACTGTCCTTGCAGATGCTCCGCCACCTCTTGACGACACATTCGACGAAGATGACAATGAAATCGTTTTCCGAAACGATGTAAACAAATCAAGAAGTATGGCGAGAAACCTGTTGCATCGCCAGTGAAGAAGACCCGGTCAAGCGAAGAAAAATTCACGGAGAAATCAAAATTAGGTGGCAGTGTTCAAAAGGCCAAAAATGAACACGACACGGAAGAAGGCGACGAAGAGTCAGATTTCGGGGACTTTGCTAGTTTTGCGGATTTTGGCTCAGCTTTTGGACAAGGCAATGGCAGTGGTGAATCGCGAGACTGGTTCACTGGTCATGACAATAGTGAAAAATCTCTCCAATCTTGGGATGCAAAAAGCAGCCAACAAGGTCCTTCTAATAATGTGGAAAATGGTGTCGATGACGCCGACTTTGCTGCATTTCAGACAAATGAAGACAGTGTAAATATACAGGAAAGCTTACCTAATGGGAGTTCTCATCAGGGAAATTCAGACAGTGATTGGGTTAATAAAAGTGCACTTACAAATAGTAGCATTAATGGCAGTTATGACTTAGAATCTGATGACGACTTTGGTGATTTTGCAACCACAGAGAATGCTATCACCAACCCTGGAGTGACTGCAGTGAAAGATGTTGACAATGGAGAAACAGCTGATAAGAAATCAGTTGCCCATCATGGAGATTCAACCATGGATGTCAATACAAAGGCATTGTTTCATGACGATAGTAAAAAGGACTGTGACATTCTAAAGGAATCATTGTCTGAACAGAACAACGAGTTTAAAACAGAGAAGGACACTGCTCCAGATGTGTCCTCAGAGAGATTTTAGGTTTTGTTGGTAGTAATCGTGGAGATCAAGAATCAATACAGCTGGATAGCTTATCGGCAGAAGCGACCAGTAGTGAAATCCCTACAACTGTATTGGCTGACACCGAGGAAGGAGCTCATACTAATAGTGTGTCTTCCGGAAGCACTAGGATAAAACAATCTACTAATGGGGAACAACTAACTGGGAAAAAGTGCAACACCGTGGACTCACAGAATTATACCACCCTTGAAAAGGATGCAGCCAAGTTATCGCCAGAACCTTCTGAATTGTGTAACGGCGATGATTTTGGAGAATTTGCTGACTGTAATGACATGCCTTTACAACAATCTAGTGGTCGTAATGAATTTGTGCAAAAAGACATTTTACCAGTAGCACCTGAAGGGGAAAATGACGAAGTTGTGAAGGGTGATTCTTCATTTGTTGGAACTGCATCCACAAGAAATAAATATTATAGTGATGATGATGATGATTTTGGGGATTTTGGCTCTTTTGAAAAGAAACATGGTAAAAAAGATGAGACATCAAGTGATTCCATTACAGTTGATGCCAAACTAACTGAATCAAAAGTTAATAATGATCCTTTTGTTGCTAAAGCATCAGCTATACAGGATAAGGACACTGACAATGATTTTGGAGATTTTGGTGCATTTGAAGTAAACCACAGTGAAAAAGAAGAAAGAACTGGCAGTGTTGATTCCGAGCCCAAACCTATGTCTAATCAAGAAAAGGATAAAGATGATTTTGGAGGTTTTGGTGCCTTTGATTCATTCAGCAGTGATACTCGTGAGGATAAGGACCAGAATAACAGCATTGGGAGTTGTAGTGCTTCAGATTTAGAAGAAAAACCACTCCAAATTGAAGGTCAAAACAGTGATGATTTTGGAGATTTTGATTCATTTAGACCAAGTGCCATGAATTCTCAAAAAGGGTGTGATGGCAGTAGTGCTAACACTGAGACTTTTGGCAGTTTTGAGTCAAATATCAAAGATTCTCAAAAAGACAATGAAAGGTCAAAAGACTTTGGAGATTTTGGAACTTTTGAGTCAAGTGTAGAAAATTCTCTAAATAATGGTCAATGTAATGATGACTTTGGAGGTTTTGATGGTAATAAATCAAATACCAAACGCGTTCAGGAGAAGGATGAAAATACTGACGATTTTGGAGATTTTGGAAGTTTTGAGACAAATGCCAAAGATTCTGAAAGGCATAATGAAAATGGTGATGACTTTGGGGATTTTGGAAGTTTTGAATCAAATACCAAGGATTTTGGACAAGATGCCCAGTCTGGCTTTGGAGATTTTGGTGCATTTAAGTCCCGGGATTCCATTAAAAAGGATGGTGGTGATGATGATTGTGGAGATTTTGGTGGTTTTGAGACAGTAGAAGAAAGAGTTTCAGAACAAAAATTTGAAGGTTTTAAAGCTTCCAATACCAAAGGCGAACTGAAGCAAAACATCCAAACAAATGAATTTGGTGCATTTGACTCCAAATCAAAGAATTTAAGTACTGCTAAACAAACTGATGATGACTTTGGGGATTTCAGTCATGGAAAGGAAAACAAGTCTGGTGGTTTTGCTTCATTCTCAAGCTCTAACTCTAACTTGACAGCTAGTTTAGGTGCTTCCACTGACAAAAACACAAGAATAAAGCAACAAAAAACAGAAATACTGCAACATTTCAGCCCTAGCGTCAATTTTATGATCAAGCAGGCGAGAGATTCTATTTCTGTGTGTTTTACCTCACAACTGAAAAACAAGTTCAATTCACAGTGTACCATTTTATCCTCTCGTGTTGGGAAAAGTTTACACAGGTAAGATGAATGTGTAGAGTTGTCTTCTTGAAGAGTAATGAAAGCTGTCACTAGCTTTGACTAGAGAAACAAAGACGCTTACCCCCTGAAAGAGGGGAGGGGGCTACTCCAGAGTTAAAGTGATGGAGATAATCAAAAGAGGGCAAAATCAAACCCCAAAAAAAATCTCCGGGCTTGTAACGAAACCCAAAAAATCCCTTGACCAAGAGTTAACCTGCAAGAAATCCTATGCTGTATTACTGAGCCATAAAATTTTTCCATAAAGAACTAAAAGTATATAACATTTCAAAAATAAGTAGAAATTGAATGTTTGTGTTTTTTTATTGCAATGCTGGCTAAGGCATGCAGCACTACACTAATCTTTAGATTAGTTTAAATACCCCCCAGAACCCTACTTAAATCAATTTTCCTGCCCAAAAAGTTCCTAAAAATGAGGAAAACCTCAAGCCCCCCAAAATCCTTTGATCATCCCTGTCAGTTCCCCTCCCTTCTTTTCAGGAAGTTTACATTGTTTTAACTGGTTAAAGCTATGAAGACAATGAGGTCTATGTTAACCCTTTAAGTCCCAATAGTGACCAACAGCAAATTTCTCCTAATGATATCCATACATTGTCATGAGATTAGGTTATGAGAATTAATAAAATGATCAACTCAGAGAAAATACTTTGATCTTTTATCAATTTCTCTTAACTAATTCTTAAAGGAAATGTATAGAGATCAGTTTGGAGAATTTGTATGTGGATATTAGGGCTTAAAGGGTTAATGGGCATTTCTATAGGATGGATACCCCCCTGAAATAGACAACATGAGTTACCATTAGCATTCTTCTAGTGAAATGAAAATTTGCTTGCCTGGTAGGAAATTCTACTTGTTTATGTCCCAGACAACCAGACGGCACTTTTTGATCCCTGTAAAGGGGACACTAGCTGTTACATAATGTTTCTCTAGTGCTCAAGAAAATTATTTTGACTGTGTTTCAGGTTGATACTGTACCTACTTTATACATAGAAAGTGTTCATTTTCTTACATGTAAGACATATATAATATTTTTTTTGCTTCAGCAACAAAGAACTATGGCAACATCTTGAGCATGCAGAAAATGAGGGCCAAATTCTGTTCAGCTGGTCTAATTCTTTTTAGCCAGCACAAGAAGTTTTTGTCACTGTGTATCTGCCCAGAGAGACCTCCCCTCTTCAGGTAATTATTAGTGAGCTTACGCAACAGGACGGAGAGGTAAGAAGACGGCAAACCTTGTGTGACAAGCGTGACAATAATTTTGTTTGAAAAACTTGTCCACCGAACTTCACCCTCCTTTAAACAGGTCTTTTGTAAAAGACCAGGAAAGATTATCTTAACAATAAGTGAAGATCACCACAAAAAAATGCTCAAGTAATAGGCCTGTAACGTTTTGTAACACACAAGCATTTTGCCATCCTCTTCTTTTTGCTGTCTTGTTGCAAAAACTCACTATTTACTGGCAAGTGCATCTTTAAAAAATAATTATCATTAACTGTTAAGTGGTAATTTAATTAAGTAATTAATTAACTAAATGTATTAATCTTTTGATAGTTATGTTACATTATCAGTCCATTTCACCTCAAGGCTGCCAAGTACAAAGATAGACAGATTTAGAAACAACATTACAATGGAAAATTCGAAATAAAAGGTCCACGGAAAGGAGTGAATGCTACTTTCAATGACTGATTTTCCACTTGCCATTAGTCAAAATGATTGTTGAAACTGTGTATGCTGTTATCACTGCCACTGCATTTTCATGTTGTAAATCTGCCTAATACCCATTAAAATCCAATGAAAATATACAGTGCAGCTCAGAGATAAGCATTACCCCTACCACCACCTGCAATAAATTCATTCATTTTATGACAAAAATATAAATAGCACCATACTGTAGAAAAGTACCACCAGGTACATTAGCAAACCTCTCCTTCATGGCAGAATAACCCTCTAAAACCTTTTTCATTCTAGGTGGGGTCAATGTTAAAACCGATAGTGTCATCACAGTTCCCACCTTTTGGAGGAGGACAAGTAAGTTACTAGTCATAAGATTATTGAGTCTCATCTTCATTGTCAAGATTATTGACATGATAAAGAAAAAATCACAATGTCATACACATATCCCACATATTTTATCATTTGCAAACCCAATCTGGTGAGCTTGTAACTTCCTGCAGGCATTTGTGCAAATTTCTTCGTAGCAGCTTTACATTTTCCATGGCCGCACAATAATTTTTTAGTTAAATTTGAGTGTGCATTTGTAGTTGTAGTGTGTGTTATAACAAACCTTTTGTTGGCAATTTTATCTGAGGAGGGTCGCACATGCCATGTGGTACGAAACTAAGTAGTAATAAAAATGCCAAGTTGGATCTCACGTTGACACCAGATAACCTATATTATCCCATACATGTATATCTTTCTCATTTTGCACATGCATGTATCAATTAACAAACATATCATACCACTCTCATATGATTCAGTTAAATGAAAAATATAACAAAGGTAACCACTATGAGCTTACGAGTCTCGGCCGGTCAGCAGTCAAATTCACAAGTGCAGGCTCACATGGAATGTTGTTGCTTTGTCACAATCAGGATCGTCAAGTTTCTTTAGTGGTTTTCATAGCGGCTGTGATGTCTTTGAGCGGCTTATATTCATTCTATGTCCCCCTTCCACTGATTCATCAGTGTGATGAGTGGGAATGGGAGCCATTGCTGGTCTGCAGGGATTTGCCAGCCATGGGGGCAGATTCTATCTAGCTGCTGGCTTGCTACAGTGGAGCCCTATGGATGGCCCAGGCACCCACCCTCGATTTAGCAAGGCAGCCAGTTAATTATACAGGCAGTCTATGGTCACTTCTGTGGTATAACATAAATTAATTGTAATGTGTGGGATCTATTCACAGCCTGGAGCACTGTTGATGCCTGCCCCAGTGAGCAAAATGCCACAGTTTACATCTGAATTGGTAAGTTCGGGCTAACTTATTATACATTTTGTATTTTCTCACAATACTGTATATCAGGTATTTTGAGTCACAGGATCGTTTCCTGTAAGCTCTTTACATTCTTACAATATTCATGAGCTCACTAAGTAATGAGGTCTAACCGTCTCTTGTTTTAGAATTAGAGGACCATGGCTTTCTTTTCCAAAGTTGCAGTTTCCAGTGGTTAAAAAAGCACCGAAGACTGTTGCTTTTCTCTTTTGCATAAAGAGTTACTAAGTGATGACAGGGTACAAAGAAAATCATTTTTACAGCTTGCCATTTGGGCAAGCTGAAGCTAGCATTTACTAGCCCAGATGTCATTTCAACTAGCCCCAAAAACTTTTTGACTAGCAGAATTGATTTCATAGTTCTTCTGTTAATATTCGAATTCCTCAAAAAATATCACTTGCCCATTGGGCAAGTTTAAAACAGAATTCACTAGCCCGATAGCAAAATCCACTAGCCCTGGGCTCTCAGACACTACTTTCTTTGAAGGCTGGATGATTTATTTTTTTGCTTTTTTTTCCTTTTGGGTTAAGGATTTCTTGGAGCCTCTGAAGGGATCACAGGCGGCAGTGCAATCCCCACTTCAGAGCAAGGAATCTATGCAAGGTTCAAGTCATCCTATGGCCCTCCCTGACCTTAGTGTAAGTGTGAACAGAGTTGTTTTAAAATTGCCCCATCACTAATCGGGTGGTGGCAGTGTTTACTTCCGTTAAGTTCTGATAGGTCATGTCAAAAACAGAAAGCTACTTTTTGTGAAAGGTTTGAACCCAGGAGTCATTTTATAAATTGATGGAGCATGATCATCCACATGATCGTGGTCCTGAACAGGACTGTTGTTGGCAACCCAGGCTAGTATCACAGGCCAGTAGAAGTGTGTTTACCTAATGGTATCGGTATTCAGCCTGTTGCTGTTGAATTTTAAAAGCTGTTTGTTTCTGTTTTCAGTTTATAATGGGCAACAGCCTAAAGCGCACATCTTCAAAACCAGGTAAGCGAGTCAATTAAGTTTAAATGTGTAGGATGCAACAGTTTTTTGTGTCTTCTTAACCAGACTTTCCAACTCTGAAGATACAGCTTTTGAAGTTACTAGAAGCAATCAGGTTTGCATAGTTCATCAAGACTGCTTTATATGTATGAGGCAACTTGTGTGATAGCCCTTAAAATGTCAGCTTTTGAATCTGTACAATTTACGTTTAGAACTCAGTTAATAAACCAAACTTTTTTATTGTCCCACCAATGCAGTACCTCAGTTTCTTGTGAAATTAATTCCTTTATTCATAAGACTCTGCAGGATGGATAGGGTCATGCTGTTTTTAATTTAATGGTTAAAAAAGTATTGAGCTGTTAATTCATCACTAGTCAGTGATGAAGGTATGCATTTTCATTATTGCAGAAATTGCTGGAAAAACCTATAATAGCAAGCAATAGGAGACACCTCCAGTAGTATAACCTAACAATATCTGATTTATGAAAAGTATTAGAGTTTTACTGTCAAACTGAAAAAAGCATGAACATCTGAAATAATATTTTGAGGGATGTTTATTGTCCTGTAACCAATCAAAACAAAGATTGGGACACGCAAGCAAAAACACAAAACCACAAACTAATAACTGTTGTTGCTCCTGGTTGAGTTTTCTCATGCCTCACAATAACATTCCATAAATATTTTTGGGCTCTTTGAGTTTTGCGGCAAATGGTCCTTCTAAGTTTTTCATTGTTTAGACTTGTAGCAGAAACTTGGTAGTAAAACTATTAGTAGAGCTCTACATGTGCGCAAACAAGGGGAGTCCCATACCTTAGAAAAATTGGTTATCTATCCATCTGAGAAATTTGGGTTATCATGTGACCGTAACGCCCATCCACCAGTTCGTCCACACCACAGGGCACCCAATGTGAAATGTCAAATTTTCTAGCTAGTGTGGAAGCTCGTTACCTGTGTTAACCTGATAATAGACATCCATGTTATGGTTAATTGATCAGTGTCAAAAATGTATCCGCTGACCAGTGTCACATGATGGTATCGTGGGCTCAGGTGCCAACTCATTGAAGTCACATGTTTTTTGAAGTTTTCCGCTGACCAGTTGTTAGCTTTTAATTGATCACAGGCTCAAATTTATGTTTTTCAGTTGTATGGTTTTCACATAAAGTTAAGTATAGATTTGTGGTCTTTTCAATAGTTTAAAAGTCCATTCTCTGCAGTAAATTTAAAATGCATAAACAGGAGCTTCACTTTTAGCTCTGGCTAAATCTATAATTAGTATGTGCTTGCTTCTCTTATAACTCTGCAGTGAATAAGGACTTCTGACTAGATAAGTTAAGATAGTATATTAGGTACATTTTTTAGCTAAAACACTTTATCAAGCTTAATCTCCTGTTATGCTTATTTTGATAGACGTTAAAGACAACATATCAGATACCACATCTGAGTCATCTTCACTTGATCTTGATTTCTTTGCACCAAGTATAAGCCAGCCTCAAGAGGGAAAGACAGGTACCTAAACTTATTTTGAAATTATTCTAGAAGGATGCCTACAGTTATTTTTAAGAATGGAAAGAAAAAAGATCATAAATCAGAATCTGGAAAAAAAATTCAGGACCCGCAACAAGATGCTATTAATCAGGTTTCTTGAAATTTCTTTTCTTTTGTTTGTGCAAGGATTATTTCTTCATTTAATTTCATAATGTCTTGTCTTGTACATTTGATTCATTATGCATTTTTTCTTATTATTCAATTTCTGCTGAAAAGTTTTTACCTCATTCATCGGGTCTTCACCATGTTCCTGGGAAATTGTTGATCAAGAAGGAAAAAACGCTCCAAATACCCCCAATATAGCCGCAACTTGTTTTAGATCTCTTTAAAACCCATGTTCAGTAGATGGGTGTGTGGGGAAGGTGCCTGGTCAAACTGAGGGAGCTGCAAGTGAGCCTGGAAGGTAACCATGACAACCCTGTGAGTGGCCTCTGCCAGGCGCTGTCACACTGAGAACCTCAGTGGAGATTTTGGTTGATACTTATCAAGATATATTCAGAGGGAAGGGAGGGCTGGAGGCAAGAACGTTAAATTGACTGCACCCGAAGGCCAGACTGCTGTGTATACTTGTTGTTTTTGGCTAGTTGGAGCTTCTTTCCCTGCTTTTGTTCATTTTTTAGCGTCCAGAGGTCTCTATGAAGAAGACTTATTGGGGCTTAACATTTCATTATCTTCAGTGGATCAACAAAAGTTGGATAGTCCAAAACCTCAGAAGACATCTGACACTAAGAAAGTTTGGCAACGTGGAGGGGTAACGATTCCACTTTCGTCACAGGAAAAACAAGCTCAACTGAGTGCTGCAGCCAAGAATATTTTAGATCAGCTGGAAGATTTAGCTTTCATGAATTCACCTGTACTGATGTTTCCCCTAAAGCCTGAATAAGTAACAATGCTGTTGTGCAGCCATTTAATACAATGAAATCTCTATGAAGAGGCCATCCTAGTGGAAGGGAGTGGCGGCGTGCTTAAGGTTGCCTGCTTTTCTGAAATTATCAGTAAATTGCTGTTGACAGCAATTTACTAATAATTTTATCCACTTGGACTCTGGTAACTGGCCGCGTAAATAGAGGGTGCCCGCTTATTAGGAGGTGGCTTAATAGAAGTTTGAGTGTTCTTCAAATAGATACTTAGTGCCACGTTTGCCAAGAAGGTGCATTTAACAAAAAATATTATTTTCGTAGTTGTAAATTGACACCTGTATTTAGCAAGCACACATGATACCATTACTGGAGGTTTCTGCTTAATATAGGTTCCTTCTACAAAAAAAAGGGCGATAAACGATTAGACTTAATGGCCTTGGTGTCTGGTAAATGTCTAGCTAGCATGGGTTCCGCCTGGTGCAGGGTTCACTGTATTCATCTCAGTGGTGGATCCTGGGTTACTCTTAGTCCTCCCACTCTTAATGGTGGCCAAAGAAAGGATTCTTTTCGTACAATCCTTAGAAATGAACAGTATGCAAAAGTTGCGCCATAGAGGTTTCATTTGAATGGTAACACCATAGGATTTGGTCCACAGACTCGAAAGTTAAAACTACATACTAAATGAATAGCACCACGTGAAAGTACTACTGAAGAGGTTTCATTTGAATGGAAACATCACAGGATTTTGTCCACAGATTCAAGAGTTAGAACTACATAATTATTACTAAAGAAATAGCACCATGTGAAAGTATTGCGAGAGCGGATTCATTTAAATGGTAACATCATAGGATTTTGTCCACAGATGCAAACGTGCGTGACAAATCATCTCATCGTAGCTCAGTCTAAGTGTGAAGGGGTTAATAGTTAACGGGATGGGTTATTAATTAAGTAGTAGTAAGTGACAAATTTTGTTCTGTCCAGTTCTAAATATGTTGTAGGATGTGGGCATTTCTGGTGGTGCCCACTTTTTGTAAAAAAGTGAAATTTCGCTTTCATGTCTTTGCTGTTATCATTTTGAAGATCTTTGAAGTCCGAGAGCAAAACCATATCTTCAGAATAGACAAGTTCGTTTAAGCAGCTTGGGTACAAAGTGATTGAAGTGTATTATAGTTCATAAAATTTTACTTCCCAACGGTTGAACACGAAATCAAAGTTGGCATTGTGGTGAACTTTTCAACATTGACTGTATCTTAAATCATTTTGGGACGATTTTGTTCATCATGAAAACATGATAACGATGTGGAAAAAACAAACTTTACTCAGTAACATTTTTTATTATTTTATTAGCATCAAAATGCGGCTAAAAAGTTATTATTCTCAAATAGTCTGGCCCCGGTTGTTCAAACGCTGGATGACCCTATCCACCCGATAAATCGCTGTCCAGCGGGTAGGTATTATGGAAACCAATTGCACTGTCCAATGGATAGTGATTTATCCATTGGATAGCGCTATCCACCCTTTTAACAACTGGGGCCTCCACAAAAAGTCAAATCATATATTAGTGTTTGTTCATAGTTTTTGTTTTATTATCGAGATACGTCGTAGCATGTTGTGTAGACGCTGGAAGAGGTATAACTTTGTAATATATTCCACTTAAACCCAAATTCGTAAACGTTTCTGTAATAGTGTTTAGCGGAACCTTATAGTTGTACAAAAAATGTGCTTTTGTCAATTTTTAAATCTCGTGATCAATGCACAGTATCTCCATTCTTTTGGCCATATTCTTCCCATAGCAATTTAAGGGAGGAGGTGTCACCTTGTAACAGCGGCTAGGTCACACAATCGAAGACTTTTTTTTAAAACCGTTGTTGGTACGAAAATAATCTGTTAGGACTGTACATGCCTGGATAGTGAAGAAATACGAAGTTGTGTCGCAGTGGGGGTTCATTGATGGCACAAATGGAAGAGATTAAAATTGTTGTCAGTCGGGTAAACTCGGAAAACGTTGACTCAGATTTTTTCGACTTTATCTCATTTTCTAAAACAAGTGTGTCATTCAAAATGCATGGAAATGTAGTGAAAATGCATCTCAGCAACGTGGCGGCGATTTTGCAAATACGCATGAGTTGGTTGACAGTTTGAAGTGTTAAATAGCTCGTATTTAACAAACACCAAAATTCAGTGACCTAGCCCTGTTTAACTGTGCGTCATAGAATGCCTTTGATTCTCCTTACCAGGGGATGTGCGTTTTTAAAATCTCATCTAGATGTTATCAACAGGAATCAATTTGAAACCCTGTAGCAGCTTAGATCCTCCGTAAACACTTGTTTTCTTAAATATATAAGGTATTAAAATTATGTGAAAAGTGATGCAAATTTTCCAGTTGGTCTTGTGGCTAAGACCGTTATAACTGCACTCCTCCCATGACAGCATTGTAATATTGTTCACTCCATCTAAAAAGACATACGAAGGAAAGGGAAATCCGTACGGAGGTCTTCAAGGATGTGCGCGCTCCAATCCTTTTTGCTGCATAGACGGTAGTGGAGTGTATTGTAATTAGGGATCTTTTTAAGCAACGACGACGCGGACGGCAACGAGAACGGCAAAAAAGCAATAGGTTTGATTAGCAAAACAACAACTTTGCACGTGCATAACGCTTTTTTGTACATTTCTTTGCTGTCGTTGCCCGACTACAACGTGAAAGTGCCTGAATTCACGTTTTGTCGAGGACGAGAACACAAGAGAACAACTTTCTTTTCTTTTCCTGAACTTTGATACAATCCTTTAAAATTCAACTCCAGAAACATTTGCCAACATTTGACGAATTAAAGGAGATGGAATAAGCGCGATAAAGTTTGAAGCGGTGCGAATTCACTTTTTAAGTGACGTTTTTGTAGCCGGTTATCTTAAATAAGGCGTCGTTCTTTTAAAATGCTTAGTGAAGTGGCTAGGGATGCATTTGAGATAAAATAATGTGCACCGTATGAATTAAAGAGAAGAAATTCCCTTAGGTCAGAATATTATGAATTCCTACAACGTTTTGAGACTCGATTAAAGTAACTGATTATTTTTGGGAATAATTTGAATTATGAGGGACGAGATCAAAAGTGTATTATCATTGTCTAGGCAAATGCTAAACAACGCTAAAACAGGTTGAACATTGTCTTTGGTGTCTTAATAGCCAAATGAGATACATGAAGTAGCTGGAGCAGTTTCAGCTTGTTGAAAATGTTTTCTCAAGTACTGATGAGCAAAGTTACTTTTTTTATTTTATTGATAGTTATTTTGCCTGGCAACCTTTTTACAGGCCCATAATATAAAAGGGGCTACCTCGGTGATTAAGGTCCTTTGGATCCGACGACGGCGACCGCAACGAGAACGTCAAAAAAGCAGTCAGTAGGTTTATTTAGCAAAATAACTTTGCACGTGCAGGACACATAGTTTTGCACATTTCTTTGCCGTCACTGCGACCCTACGAGTCCTACGATGTAGAAATGCTTAATTTTACGTAAATAAGCAGAATAATCGCGATAAGGATTGATAAAACACGAATTCCCTTTTTACGTGAAGTTTTCGCCTCCTTCGGAAGGTGCACAGGAACACTGAAAAGGGTCTGGGTCTAGGTGGTGAAACTTCCCAGCAGTCTCGGGTTTCGCTTTCGAAGGCGGAAGTTGTCGGACTGAGACTTCTGTGCGTCGATACACGTATTATACACATTATTTTAAACCTGAAAGTTTAAATTTTTACACGAGTTTCATCGTGTTGGAGTCCGGCAAAAGGATCTTGTAATAGCGTAATATCCTGGGAGTCGAAGAGAGTGCAGGGATCGATCTTAGCACACAATCGGTCTGCTGAAACGCAACAGCGTTTCCCAAGGAAATTCGCAGAATTAAATTTTTAAAGTAAAGACTTTGATGAGCATGGAAAAATACTCTTTTCACCAATTACGCAAACTTTTCAAAGATGAACCACTGGCGAATATACAAAAGGTTTCTGAAGAAATTGGACCAAACGCCGCTGTCAAGAAAGATACAGGTAGATGGTCCTTACTTCATATCGCATCAACCACAGATAGATCAGATGTAACACAACACCTTATTACCAAGGGAAGTGATGTGAATGTTCTTGACAAAGATGGTAAGTCTCCTTTGTATTACTGCCAGTCTCAAGAGGTCGCCAAGTTGTTGATCGATGCTGGCGCTGAGGTGAATCATCCAAGCATTTTGGGTAAGACACCTAACATCATGCATGCATATCAAACGCTTCTCCTGAGGTGCTTAAACTCCTACTGAAGTCTGGAGCGCTGGTAAATGCTCAAGACAGGTTTGGTGACACCCCCTTTTTGAATGCTTGTGGCATGGCTTATGGATGTATCGACGAAGAAGAGTTTGCAGAGAACCTGCCAAAGATAAACATTCTGATTGATCACGGAGTTGATGTCAACCACACGAATGCAAAAGGGGAAAACGGACTGCATATTTGCTGCCAATATCGCAGTCAAGAAATAGTGGAAATACTGCTGAAATGTGGTGTAGCGGTCAACGCCCTGAACAAAAAGCACCAGACACCCTTGTTCATGGCTTGTTGTGGCGCTGTTTCTGCGCGTGAAGGAAAGGAAGGTATCTTGACTACCCTGACAGTATTGCTGGAGCATGGGGCAGATCCCATGATACCAGATGAACAAGGACTGACACCACTTCACGTGTTGATGCTAAAAAAAGCATCAGAATCTGATATTGCATCATTCGCTGATGTCTTAGTTAAACATGGAGCTAGCCTGAATGTCAGAGATAACATGCTACGCTCTCCTGTACATTATGCAAGTTACGCAGCTGCCCACCAGAAATGGCTAACAGTATTACAGGAGTTGATGCCACTTGGGGCAGACATTAATTTGCAGGATGCGGAAGGCTTTACCCCTGTTCATGTCACTGCTACACGCGATCGCAGTCGCCTGACGACATTTCAGTGGCCTTGGGACTGCATAGAAGGTAACGACACTGTCAAACAAGCGATCAACTGGAATTGTTCTCGAAAAAATGGAGTGACATTGGCTCACATTGTTTTAGCTCACAAAGGGCTTAAGCTTGGAGGGTGTGAAGTTCCATGGGACATAAATGCACAAGACGAGTTTATGTCAACACCAATGCACTATGCGGAATTTACAAATAACACCAGTGCACCCTGTTATGTGTGGGTTTCAGGCACTGTAGCTGACGTCACGTTAGCAAACTGTTTAGGGGAAAGTGTCATTGATTGTGCAGTGACAACGCTTAACCAAGAAATGATCGATCAACTTAAAAAGTACGGAGGGAGCCCACCAACATTGAAAAAAGAGAGAAGGGTGCCAAGCAGTTCCTGCGAACTTTGCGCTCAGTTTTCAAGGCAAGGTGAAGGCCCTTTTTATAAGCCATTTGAAAAGAAGGAAGAGCCAGTTTCAGTGGATGTGAAGAAAGTTCAAATAAACCCACCAATAAACGTGGAGGAATACGTGGAACATGTTTTGCACACACCGAGGAGAGGAAAAGTATCACTTCAAAGTGACGAAGTGGCCCAAATTTGCCAGGAAACGGAAAACCTTATAGGGAAGATTCTTGATAAAGTAGCCCACTATGATCCTCGTTTCCGGTCGATAATGATCGTATCAGGGAGTGTTCGTGAGAGAACCAAGGCTGGACTGCCTGATGAGTTTGATTTCATGTGCAAGCTTGAAACGTTCAGCCCTTGTTGCAGAGTAATCGAAGACGATACATGTTCACCCGGTTTTGTACGTTTAGCGAAGAGTGCTGATGCCTGTGAGAGCGTGAATGAATTCTTTGATAATGATGGATATCTGGTGCCATATTTGGTCAGGTCCAAGTTCCAGCAAATCGTGAGGCAGGTCATGTTTGATTCCAAGTTGTGGCAAAATTGCCGAATCTGCTCCAATTTCGTCCTTCCCAGCTCAGACACGAGTATTGCCACTCCTAAGCCGTCAATCATCATCGAGCTCTGTTGGAATGGCCCAGTCTACAAGAACATGATATACTCAGTCGATGTGGTGCCAGTCATAGATGTCGGGGCTGCGTTTTGGCCAAAGGATGCAATCTCGTATAGCCCTCTTCTAGAAAACATTGAAAAACAGTGCCTTTTCACGATGACTATTCCAAGGTTTGAACGTGGTATTTTTGGGAATGAAGTGAGAATATCCTACTCTCTTGTCGAGAGTCAAATCTTTGACAACATTCCTGAAAACCTCAAGGATGCCTATATTGTTGCTAAAGCTATTCGTGAAGTATGCCCAGCATTGGTGGATGAAGAGCAAATTTTCCACGATGAGAAATATCATTATGCCTCCTCTTTATTTCCCTCTTATTGGTTAAAAACGGCTTTGTTTCACGAACTAGACAAACACGGTCTGGACGAGAAGCACAACTTAAAAGTATGGGTGCAACGAATCTACTAGAGAATTCGTCAATATGTGTGCCAGGATGAAGAATTCCCATCGTTTTTCATGCCTCGGCAAGACTTCGTTGCCTATAGATTGAAGGGAAGAGATCAGAGCCGGACGGATGCTGCAAAGCTGGAAAGAGAGTTAACGGCTTGTAAGAAAATATGTGAAATCATTCATCGGTTATTATCAAGCGGCGATCGGGCGACCGTGGGCGTCTCTTAGTTTAATTCAATGTAGATTAACTATTACATTTGGTAACCGAACCATAGATCTTGGACTTGCCTGGTGCCTCATGAAAGGGATTTGGTTGCTAATTTCGATCACGTTTAACTTATTTGATCCCTTCGATTGTAGAAAGGTTGACTTTGCCTTCTACCCAAACGTCGTTCGAGTTTCAAGTTTCAGCAGGTGTATGTTTCCAAGTAGTAATTTGTTATTGTGACTATAGTTTCACAACAGATGTTGAAGACAAAGACCATGAAACTATTTAAAGTCAACATAATTAACATATATATACTAGTTTCCCATTATAATTCCTTGCCACTTGATCTCCTTTGATAAATAATGATAATAATTACAATAATGATAATTTTTCATTTCATATAGCAAATTGTACTAAAAGCTCTATACCGCTTTACACAACCTCGTTCCCAGAGCGCTTTTCCCCGGCTTTAAAGCCATGGAAAAGCGCCCTGGGGACGAGGTTGCGCTTTACAATTATAGTAGCAAATTGCGACAAATACCTGTGCTTTAAAAAACAAAGAAATTATATGCAATTCGAAAGAAAGATAGGTCTTCAAAGTCTTTCAACATAGCGCCAGATGGACTACTTTTCTCCATTGGCAGGTCATTCCAAAAGCTAGGCGCAGCAACCGGAAAAAACTATGTCGCCATAACTTTTCAGGTTTGTTCTCGGAACCTGTAAAAGGTACTTGTTTGCAGACTTAGTTAAGACGTAGTGAAGCAATACAGAGATGGTATCAGAGATGCCCCTTATAATCTCTTGATAATATAATAAATAGCGGGAAGATTATTTGAGGCCTCCGGCTCCTGGCCTCCTTTGATTCTCTTCCAATCAGCGGCTATACCATTAAGACAGCGTCTTTCACCCATCTCAGAGGCGGAAAAAAACGCAACAAAATTTTCCAAAGACATTTAGTAAAATGCTGAAAAACAAATAGTACCATGTGAACACCGTAGGTTTTCAGCCACAGACTGAGTCCCTAGGCCTCATTATCCCGCGCGGCCAAAGCGTTTCGGGTCGGGTGATCCAAGCGAAGCTGTGACCAAAGTGAATTGACCGAGAGGAACTGGGATTAGGGACTAGGCAATGTAAACGATGTATTCACTCTTGAAACTCTCTTGAAGCAGAATATAGTTTGCAAAGAATTATTACTTTGCATTTATGATCCTTAAATAAACCACGTACTATTAAACTCGATTATTTTTGCGTACTAAGCATGCAATACAAATCTTCGTTGAGGGCACTTCACACTTTTCTAGATTTTTTCGAAATCTATATATTTACCACCTACTTCTTGACAGTTTCACTTCCAACCAGCGTCAAAGTCTCCGTTCGAAAGGGAAAAAAATATGATACATACATAACATAATTTATATAGCGCTAACTCCACTAATTGACCAAAGCGCTTTACAATTCATAATATTAAAATAATTAAAAAGATACCACCGGTAATAACAGATGAATAAATTAAAAACCTATTAGCAGTCTTATTTATAAAAATATCACAATAAATCCAATTCTAAATTATCAAAAAGTCAAACATTATATGCTTTTTTAAAAAGATCGGTCGTTAAGTGTTTCTTGAATAAATTAATTGTAACTAAACTTCTAAGATCTAATGGCAGCTCATTCCAGAGTTTAGGTACAGCAACGGAAAAGGCCCTGTCTTCGTATGTTTTAAGTCTTGACTTCGGAACTGCTAGAAGTTTTTGATCAGTAGACCGTAGCGTACGTGAACATGTACGATAACTAAGTAATTCCGTGATAACAGATGATTTACTAAACCACAACATGGTTAGCTCATTTGGGAGAGCGTCGGTCTTTTGAGCGGGAGGTCGCGGGTTCAAATCCCAGCCTGGCCCAACCTCGTCCCCAGGACCCTTTTCCCTGGCTTTGAAGGCGCCCCACCTCCAAAGCCAGGGAAAAGCGCCCTGTGGACGAGGTTGAGCCGGGCCAACACTGAGAGTCTTTAAGTTACTGAGGAGAAAGTGCTGCCTTTTCACTTGTTACATCTACAAACGATTAGACTTTCTAATCTGCTCGGATAAGGACGAAACACCGTAGGTCCTGTCTCACAGCACTTTCACTTATCTGGTTCTTGAGGAACGTAAAAGAACCCACTCCACTGTTCGAAAAGAGTCGGGGACGTAGATCCCCGTGGTGTGGCCAACCTTTCTTGGGCTGGGTGGGATATCTGTAAGGACACACTTAAATTGGAACCCCGCTCTGTTTTGTGTTCCGCTCCATACGGTGAAAGTTATTAAATAAATATATATATAAATAAGCAGCTTCTAGTTTGTCTCTTTTTCGTTGCTATCGCCACCTTTTGCTTTCGGCCCTTGATCTTCAAACGCTCAGTATCACAAAAAATTCAGAGGCAGCGGAGCGTTTTGGGAGGTGGGAAACTCATCGTACACCAAGCCAAGCGCACTGACCCTTTGCCATCTTATAGGTGTGTCCGTAATCGACTGTGACAATGCATAATTAGGCACGGTTGTTCAGACGATCGTGCTACATGGTGCTTCTTACATTTAGAAAACTCCCATACGAAAGAGACGGGGAAGCTTCTCGGCAATCTAGAATCAGTAAACCCCTTAAGGAGACTAATCAGTGTCCGTGACTCAGGCTTTATTTGACCCCTAAAAGGAGAGCCGTACTAGATACAGATATTTCTCTCCGCACAACCCTAAGCGTATGGGTACTAGGCTTTCCGTTCTGCTTACCCTACTGTGAGACCATTTCTTCAGCGAGATCAGACGACAAGCCCACAGGGTGGAGGGGGAGGGAGTGATACTCAATAAAGTTTTATATGGGGAGGCTCCGTCCCAAGGTTCAGCCATTGGTGTTAAAGGTGTTGGTGCAGCCTAGCCCCTTACCCTTTTAAAACGGAAGTTGCATGGAAGTGAGGCTTATAGCCCTCGCGGATAGAATCAGATAAAGAGGGACTGTTCGGTGCTGCGCAACGGCAATCAAGCTTTCTTTTTTCTTGTTTAACAATGCGAGCTAGGGACACGGGGAGAGATTGTAGGCTGTAGTAAATTTTTAAGCACGAAATTTTGGAAGGAATATTTTTCCGCGCGAAAGCCACTCTTCAGTTGGTTCATCGTTCTTTCATATTTACCATAGTTAGTCCCCTCTACTAACTATGATATTTACATCATCCCTTCCGTTTCCCGTTACTATCCCTTAATCACATGATTGACAACATGTTTCCGGCTAAAAAAAATTCCAGTCACGCCACGTTCACGGCACGAATAATTTAATTTGAACAAATCTCCTTTTGAGTTTCTGGTTCCAGAAACTTTTTACTTCATACTCTTTTTGTGCTTTAGATTCGTGGGAACTGGATTGCATTGGGACCACTCAGAATGCTTATGACGAGACGGCCGTCGTTCCCAGGGCCCTTGTGCCGACAGCCCCTCCCCCTACATACCCACCCGGATTACCCCGCATGCGTGTGCGTTGGCAGTGGTCTGTTCTGGTTGTGTTTTGGGACATTATAGAGAAGGTTTCTGTTCTATATTCCTTCCCGACAGAGTTTTAGCCATGGCGTTTCGTTATAGAGCTGCAAGGTCTTTGTCTTATGTCGCCAGGATTTGTAATAGATCTCCTCAAGCAATCTACACTAGCCAAAAGTGGCTTTGTTCAGCGCCCGCAGGCTCGAGTCTCGACGAACCAGGTATGAAAGATTGTTCTTTTCAAGTGTAAGTTTATCTTAAAACCGTAAAATACAAAGCTGTGTATTTCATAGTAGTGGAAACATTCGGTGGAATATAAAATATTTCTGACTTATTGGTATGTTATTCGTTCGTGCGTTGCCACATTATCGTGTTTGTTGGCAGCTTAATGATGTGCAATGAAATCTATATGTCACGCAATGAAGAAAAAAGTACTCAACAACCATAACGTTTACGTTTATTCAAATAATCCACAAAAGCATAGCCATCACGTGGATGGAAATTAAACTTAACTCTAAACTCCAGTTTCTCGTTTATGAGGGTAAAGGTGATTGTTGGTAAGATTATTAGACGTATAACCTGTGCGTACATTGCAGATGCCATCTTGCTTTGTAAATTCTTATGGTGATTGTGGATTACCTTTGAATTAAACCATGATCATAACGTAAACAAGTGTATGTAAAGGCTGGTTTTCACCAACGACGGAATCGGAGTCAGAATCAAATCTGACCTTGCTTATATGTTCTATCACTGATATTATCTGAGATTTTATTCCTCTCTTTACTGCTGCCAATTATTTCAACATGACGGTGTCCAACATGAAAGCTCTTGCCACTTTGGACACTGTACACAAATGAACTTAATGTCTTTTAGTTGATTATTATTTGTCAGCTACTTTATTTTCCTACCTACGTACACTTATGTAAATATCTTATATAGTGTGAAATAAAGAATTGAATTGAATTGAATCATCAGCAAAGGCATAAAGAGCGCTTATGACTTAGTGAAAATCAAAAATCAGAGTTGTAAGTGGAGTCATAAGTGCGATGGAATTGGAGTTGGAAAAATCAGAACGTTTCCATTTTCTTATGACTCTGCTTATGACTCCATTGTTTATGATCTAGTGAAAACCAGATTGTTGGAGTCGGAAGCAGAAGTGGAAGAATAAACATATCACAATGCTTATTCCCTGCTTTGTGATTGGTTTTGTTCATCCGCTTCTGCTTGTGACTTTGACAAAACTAGTTTTTACTTATTGTTGTAGTCAACAGAGTTGTAAGTAGAATCAGAATGCTCTTTTCACTAAATCGTAAAGCTCTGTGCTTCTGACTACAACTCCAACTGACTCCATTTCTAGTGAAAACCAGCCTCAAAGAAGATTTTAATTAAAAATTTGATCATACAGTCTGTCATGGCTTTTTTACTTGCCTCTCACTTAGCCAAGACTCTGGTTAAAATGATACCTTCATCAATTTTACCTCTTCTAGTAGTGAGGGAGGGCAAGCAAGGACTGGGGGGGGGTATCTTGAGTTCACAAACAACAATGGTGCGTTTCACGAGTCACAAAACAAAATTTACGTTTTTACACTTATTAAAAATAGGGGTTGTACAAAGTATCAAAAATGCTACATTAGTCCCATTTTGTAAAACAGAGTGCTTGGATTATGTTGTGTGGTTCCAGAAAATATCCAGACCCCCACCACAGAGGGAATTGGAAATTCCAGGGGGGTGGGGGGATCAGAGGCCCAGGAAATTCCAGAAGGGAGGGGGGTTGGACCATAAAATCACTTTCCAGAGGGTATTTCCTTTTCGACCTGAGTTCGAACGTTGCTTCTTACCGACCTGGTAGATCATTTTCAGGACATAAATAACTTGAAATATATCACTTAAGATTGTTCCTTTTGATCTTAACCAGGTTTCCTCTCTTCCAAAAGTATTTTGGATGTAATTTCAAAGGAATTAGACCGACTACAACTCGTTTTATCGCATCGTCGTGTACTAGGGCGCCACTACTCGTTACCAGTCTTCCTTAAAACATCAACGCGTGCAACACATCACGCAACACATCTCGTTGCATCAGTTGATTGATAGATCAGAAGAGTGGCAATTTTGCCTCACGAAGCTCAAGCTATAATTGTAACCATTTTAGAATGTAGAGTTTTTATTCTCCTTTTCATTTTCCCTTAATTTTGTGGTTGAACGTGTGGCATGTTCATGATCGAATTCTCGCTGAAATGGTGTCGATTTCACCAAACACTTACTCCAGTATACTGCCATTGCGCATCACGTCGCATCAGTCGATCGAAAAACAGTAAATTGAACTTGGTTTCCCTTCAAGTACCTTCAAGATGCAGGGGGTATCCATTGTTATCATTTCAGAATTCAGAGTTTTTATTCTCCTCTTTGTTTTGCATTAATTTTGTGGTCGTAAGTTTGACTTGTTCTACATTCCCGTACGAAATTGATTCTATCAACATTACGCCCTTGAGGCGAATAACAAATCGTAAGCTTGCCCTGAGTAAGGTAAATTCACAAATATAACCGACTTATTAACTTTCTCTGTTTCATTTAAAGTAAGAGATGAGCAAAAATTACAGATCAGGTTACTTTGTGGTGGTGTAGTGTGTTTTAATGTTGCGAGATCACTCAAATAAATGGAAACTGAAGCATACAAGCTTCTGATGGAAACCGTTGAGTACTAACCATAAGTTGCCTCATTCTTCTACTTTAATAGTCTTTCTTCGTGAAAATGAACTTTTCTGGAGGGGTTGGGGAGTCTTTGTCACACTTGTGGAAATTCCGAAGGGGTGGGGGGTCATCTGTTCCCTGCAAAAATGGAAAATCCAGGGAGGTGGGGGGGTCCTAGGTGAAATTCCCTCCGTGGTGGGGGTCTGGATATTTTCTGGAACTAAACATTTTAGCACGTTAACTAAAGTTTTACGAACCTTATGAAAAACACTACACAGCTATAAATTCCCAAGGGAAGCCAGCTGTAATTGGGTCTTAGCACACTGACTTGAAAGTGAAGTTAAATCAAGCCACCAGATGCTAGTCAAGTCGTTTGGCCGAATAAATGATTTATTTTCTTTGACTGATGTTCAATGTATGTGTAAACAAAAATTATCGAGAATTTTGGTAGTTCAGGTTTCATGGACTGCACTGCAATCACAATTCATGGAACAGTATTTCAGTATATCACAATTCACGGACACCAGAAATGCTCGTTCACGACGTCACAAAAATAAGTCCCCCCCCCCTGTCAGTGGTCCTCCTTACACCAACCCATTACATCAACCCATCTCTAACTGAAATGCTGCTGAGACTACATGATTCATTTCCAGTTCTCTCTGTATCTTCAATCATAGCCTGCATTTTTTTAAGGTGAAGGAAGAAAATCTTGAGGACACACGAGTGGAGAAAAGGAAAGGGGGCGACTGCCGCAGAGACCTTGGCTTTTAATTTACGCCTGCAATGTATTAATGTGACAGCGCTGCATCAACTGACAAAAAAATGATTGAAAGCAGATCATCTAACGACATGAAACCAACAATAGACCCAAATGGAAAAATAACCTTGTGTATACTATTTTGGTTATGTTAGCCTGCGCCACAGACGAAACTAAACTCTGGTAAAGTCTGAGGTTAAATTAATACGTCTGCGACGCAGGCTAGGTTATATCTGCATAAAGCAAACGATTCAATTTTAAATTCGGGGCAAACATGATGAGCAGGCTTACCTAAGTCATCCCGGCGTGCAGGCTTTTGTCAACAACAGACACTGCTATATTTGTGTTGAAAAATGATGATGATTTTGATGCAATACATCAATCTTTTGACCATTGCCGCTAATGACTATCACCTACTTATGATGATGATGATGATGATGATAGTAAAAGTGCCTTGTTACAATATTATATATTGATAACTGCTACATGTACTTTGTCTGATTTGTCTATTTTATTGTAGATTTAGAATCAGGAGCTCACAAGGACAAAAAGCTTTTCACTCCTGGACCACTTGGTGTAAGCTTTGATACAAAGCGATCCATGCTACGAGACCTTGGTTCACGTGACATTGAGTTCATAGGCGTTGTAAAATCCATTCGTTCAAGGCTTTTAGAAATTGCTGGTGTTTCTCCCAAAGAATACACAACAGTTTTACTTCAAGGGAGTGGAACTTATGCAGTGGAGGCTGTTCTTACAACAACAACACCAAGAGATGGAGGGAAGGTCCTCATTATTGAAAATGGTTCCTATGGAAAGAGAATGGCAAAGATCTGTGAGGTTGCTGGAATTGAAACGGTATGAATACAACAGTACCTGTAGTTTGCACTAACTTAAAGTTTTTTCAGTGTATAGTTTCTGGAATCAAGAAGAATTCTTGTGACAATCTTCTATACTGTCCTTCCACTCTCTGCTTATTAAACAAGTTTTTTGTTGGGCGCACACTGTAAACACATAAAAGTGCGTCTATATTTTTATCCATTAAACCAGGCAATTGTCGAGAGTTATACATACATGCAGGGTGAATTTCATGGTTTCAAAATAGTAAGATTTCTTTAGATTGATGCTTAATCCATTTTAACATTTTGGTCAATATTTTGAAAACTAGATTTGTGCTTAGTTAGCTTTCTGTGATAAGTGCAGTGTAATTATTTTAAATGATCACAAAATTATAACTTTCTTTAGTTGTGCTGATTTTTATTTCTATTATTAGAGCAGTCAGAAAAATCTCTTGAAGTTTTTAGCTGTTACAATATTTTATCATGAAAATGAATAAATATTGTTTATTCCGGTTTCTAAATTTACACTTACCAGCTGATTGAACAAAAATTACCTCATTAGAAATATGGCTGAAGAGAAGGTGTCTTTAATGTTCAGCTATCTTGCATCAATTGCTGAAGGCAACATGGCTGTATCCTGTTTAGAATAGAAGACAGGAAGCAAATCACAGTGATTTTAAAAAGACCACAATGTTTGTAATGTTTAAGACTTGCATTCTTGTCAGTTCCATTATAATCCTTTTTCAATTGAGTGAGAATTACAAAACATACCTTCTGCCTTGTGGTACCCTGTGAGCAGAGACTACATTTTCGTTGTATGAGCTGGCATGCAAAAAGTAGCCTTGTGGAAAATTGTACATGTAAATTAATTATAAAACCCCAGCATTTTTGTTTCCTTTCTGTCCAGGTTGTCTTGAATGGAGAGGAAAATGCGAAGGCAGACTTGGCTAAAGTCGAGGAAATCTTGAAGAGTGACAAATCCATCACCAATGTTGCTATGGTGCACTGCGAGACTTCTACAGGGGTCATTCATCCAGTGGGAGCAGTAGGCAAACTTGTCAAAGAACATGCTCCAAGTGCATCCTTCTTTGTCGATGCTATGAGCAGCTTTGGAGCAGTTCCTCTTAATTTAGACTTAGCCAACATTGACTTTATGGTCAGCTCTGCAAACAAGTGTATAGAAGGTGTACCTGGCTTTTCATTTGTGATTGGGCACATTGAGTCATTGAATCGGTGCAAAGGATGGGCCCGCAGTCTTTCTCTTGACATTGTGGACCAGTATGAGGGTTTGGAGAAGAATGGTCAGTTTAGGTTCACTCCAGCTACTCATGCCATGCTTGCTTTTCGCCGCGCTCTGTCAGAGTTCAAAGCTGAAGGTGGTGTTGATGGAAGGGCAAACAGGTGAGAGAGTTATAACCTTTTGTGAGTTTTATTTTAAGTTTAACAACTGTGAACGGCATGCTGTGTCATCTGCAACAGCTGTTAACAGATCATCCTAGTCACTATATAAGGTTTTAAGGTAAAGTTTCCTATTTTGCCATTTAACTCATAACAGTCCTGATCATCCTAACTGAAAACACAAATTGAACCCCTAAGTGAGACGATAAGCATCCCTGTCTCTTTCCTGTGGGATTCCCCCCTGCCCTGCTAGGTGTCTAACCCATGAAGAATTGCCTATGTGCTCCACAAATTAGCAAAACAGTAGCACCCCTCTTCAAGAATGCCTCTTGTTTGAATAAGTGTCCCCCCCTTGACCCACAGGGGCATAGCTCGGAGTGATCCTGGGGTGCCCATGACTTCCCCCCCCCTTTTGTGGGATCATTGTTTCATGTCCCTATAATTCAGGTGGCCAAAACGCATGAATCTGAAGAATGAACATGCAGTAAATCTTTCCCATTACTTAATACATTTGCAGGACCTAACATCTGCAGTGGACCATGTTCTTGTTCATAACTAAAATAGAGTAATTTATGCTACATGGAACTTAATTAACCTACATGTATGCAGCTATTTTGTAGGCTTGTCCCTCCCCCCCCCATGCTCACTGCTCATCCAAAAAAAGTGTCACTTTAAGTAAAACACGGCATGGATGTTGACATGCTTTTCGTGTAAGTGCCCTGGGTGTGACATGTGTGACTCCCCCTTTGAAAAATTCAGCTATGCCCCTGACCCTGGATGCTAAATTCACCATTTACTGCATTTCTCTGTTATTGACTTTGAGAGCAAATGGGTTAATTTACTTTAATTTGAAACTTGCATTTGTAGATACATGGAAAACTGCCATGTCCTTCAAGATGGAATGAGAAAACTCGGCTTTAAGAAGTTTTTAGATGACACCCACGAAGGCTACATCATAACATCCTACTACAACCCCACCCACCCTAATTATAACTTTGAGGAGTTCTACAGTCGCTTAAACAGTAGGGACCAAGTTATCTACCCTGGAAAAGTAAGCAATGCAGACTGCTTTAGGATTGGCAACATTGGAAAATTGTACCCTGAAGACATGGAGCATTTGCTTGAGTGTATAAAAGAGGTCTTGGCTGAGATGAACGTATCTGTTCCATTGCACGATGAGTAGATGGTTTCATGAGTGACTGAAACCCTATTTTGTCAATAACAAGATCAAATATGTGATGAAAAATGATAAATAGTATTATTGATAGAGATCAAGATCATGCGAATAAAATTATTAATTAAAAGTAAAGCTGGGGCAAAAATGTGGGTGGAGAAGAAGTAGCCTGTTGCAACAGGTTAGTGGAATCAGTAGTTTTAGCCTTACTGAGGTGGGTCTGATTTCTGTTAGGGTTGTTCAATAATTATAGCCCGCGCTGAAAGCTTTGTGATGCAAACTTTTCCTTTCTTTCAAGTAACCATCTTCCTTTTGGATTCTGGGGCAAGTTGCGTAGAACATACCACAATGAGCATGTGTAAGATATTAAATTTTGATGATTGTTTGTGACTTATGAATAATATCCTAAGATTACTGAGTGATTCCTAAGATTATGCATCCAGCTTGTAGCTTAAGTCAAAATTCTCCAATAGCCATTCCTGACCGCACAGCCTGCAAGGAAAGTTATGCGTGATAACTGGGAGCTAGTAAATTTTGCGATTGCACTTGTGAATTCTGTTCTTAACTTGCTGACGGACGACTGGGTTTTTTAGGAGGATTCAAATTACAGGGCCGGGTTGTTAAAAGCTTGGTTAAGATAAATAAAAGCTTGGTTAAGATAATACACGGTTAGTGCGACATTTGAATTCAGAGATAAAAGCTGAAAAAGCAAAATTCAGTTTATTTCTTTTTGTCTTCAATGTGACTATTGGATGCTCTAAAAAGGATAGTATACAACTATCCCCCGAAGGAGAGGTGAATAGTGGTGCGTATACCAAGACGCGAAGCGTCGAGTTATATATCTAGCACTTTTCACCGATCCTGAGGGGGATAGTTGTTTTAGTATTTACCAAATCAGTTGGATAAAAATGAAAAAAGTAAGTTTTTGGAAATTAAAAACGTCACTTAGTAGGAACTTAATTTACAATTTACAAACATTTCTGGTATTTTGACGATTTTGTTGCAAATTCAGCATGAAAATATATTCTTACTTACCAGTAAACACCGACAAGCCAAAGATAGTCGCTTTCCTAGGATTTGTTTGTACGACTGCCCCATTAATCGCTCAAATTTCGTACGAAAATGCCTCGCGGCGAGACGCCATTTTAGCTCCGGTCGCAAAGGATATTCCGAGTTACGGGAGCCAATCAAAAGGTAAGAAAAGTGCTATTCACTGATTTGGAAAATACTAAAGAAACTTATTCGAGAAAATGCTTTGGAACAAAATAAGAAGAAACCAGGATAAAAATCTAACCTCGGGTTAGCGCAAGTCGGTCTTCGAACAACTGGGTCCCGAAGTACTGTAAGACAAATTGTTTAAATTCCTGATAAATTCATGGGAATCAGGCAAAAGCTCGCCGTGTACATGCAGGTGTACTGAAGATCTCAATTGCACAAATGATGTTGATGGTCATGTCATTGCAAACCAAGGAAAGTAAATGGTATAGTTCAGCAGAAAAAAGCGTTTAGCTTTTCTCAGTAATTTTTTATCCTTGTTTTATAATTGTCTGTGGACTAATAACGTTTTTTTTGTTATTTTCGTCCTATAGGACGAGGATGTCTGATGCTTACAATATCAGTTTAGGTCTTAAATGTGTTTCAGAAGCTGACATCAGACGCATCTAAAATGGCTGCTATCAATCGAATGTTATGACATTCCTTCTTAGTTATAAGTGCAGCATGTATCCAGAATGGTTAGGGCGTGAAAGTTAAAAGTAGTTTTAAGAAAATGCAGTTTTTGTTAATTATCTCAAGGATTTTGCAAACGTCCAGAAATTCAATAATTCCAAATGGAAGTAAGATGTCTGCAATATAGATCGGGAACGTACTGTAAATATCTTAGGAAATAGCCGAAAAATTAAATTTCTATAGCTGCTGTAACTAACGGAGCGAATTGCTGGATTGGTAATTTTGTTTCTTTCATGACTGTGCCGTTAAATTTGTCTAAATGCTGAACAGCCTATAACCTCGTTTTCAATGGTCACGTGACCAGAAAAATCACGTGATTTTCAGACGGTTTCTGCGAGGTACTGTAAGTAATAAGTTGTATCAGTCAGCTGTTGATCTGAACGAATTTTAACAGTTTGAGAGTTCTCTGCATCCTCATACAACATACAGCCTCGTTTTCATGTCACAATGTATTAATGCTACCCTTAACGGCTAATTTCAATGTCTAAATGGTAAACAAAATTTTCGTGTTTAGCACATAATTCTCATCTAGAAAAATGTGTTTAGCAACTTTTCCTCGAATTTGCCGACAGAAGTTCTCTTTTGCGAAAGTTACCCCAGTCTATACACAGTTCCTAGACTCTCGTGCAAAGCTCAGTTTTCAGATCACGTGACGAGTTTTGCCGCCACAATGACGCAATAATTTTTCTAACAACTGGATCTTGCATTGAGATTGTTACGATAAAAATGTGAAATGAATAATTAGTAGACAAAGAGCAAAATCAGTCCAACACCACAACAAGAGATGGCTAAAGCCCATTTGGGGTGTGCCAGGTTTATGTGTAGTCTCGACGGTTGCTATATTGAAACCGTTTGAGAAAACATGAGAAAAGCACAAAACATCAGCTGGAGAGACCATGCCACGCTTGAGAGGATTTATGGGGTACTGATACCTCTATCTTTGAGACTCAAGCGAAGGCCTCTTTAGTTTGCTGGTCTTTTTGCCCATAGGCGTACGGGAAATTTTTTGCCAGGGGGGGCGGTAAACCATTTGCTCCAAAAAAACTCGCAAGTTGCCCAAATTTTTACGAAAGAGTCGAAAAGAAATGAGGGCCATATTACAACAACATAGGCCATCCTGGCATAGGAAGGTGGCTCGATACAGTTTTCCAGGGGCAATACCAAGTCTGAGCATAAACTACGTCGCCATAAACAAACATTTGGAACAATTGCGACCACGGTTGTATTAAGATGAAAATTTGTCATCATCAGGGTTGCAATGACATCGGAGTTGTCATAGCAACGAAATAACTCCATTACCTATGATTCTCGGCACGGGAACCTTACAAAATCGTTCACAGGAGCTTTTTTCTCCAATACGGTCGCCTCGATGTTCGTGAAGTTTGAGCAAAACCTTAAGAGCGTTATCGAGATATTTTGGAATGAAGTTTTTATTATTAGAAATACGGTAAGAAAAGGAAAATCTTGATTTTTGGCCGTTATCTGTAGAAAACGAAGCGCTTTTGTAAATTACTCATCACATGCTAGGCAACCACTGTAATGTAACTGGATTATTACGCCGACTTCAGGTTAATATTCAGGTCTTTAAAATACGCCTTTTGCTGTTCATTACGAGAAAATACGCATTGATTTGTGTGAAACGGCGACCAACAGCACGGAGATACATTCATTAGCGCGAAAAAGCGAACATTTGCGCCTAAATCAGATTCAATAACGATTTTTGCATTTTAATCAGCATTCAATAACATTTTTGGGCATTCATTTGCGTCATTCGACATACAAAAGAGAAAAATATTCTTTCATTAACGCCAACATTCGAGTCATTAACATTATCTTAAAAATCATTGCGGACAATAGACAAACATTTAAGTGCAAACGTTATTCGTTAACATTTTTATGACACTGTTTGCAATTCAACAGCATTTCTTGACAGCTTTGGAATGGATAAGACAAACAGTAATGCGCATGTACAATCAATTGAGCGTTCTTTACATTTAATACACAAAAATCTATTTTCAATTAAACAATACCAATCCCCCCCCCCCCAAAAAAAAAAAAAAAATTGGCCTGAATTTATTTAAAGAATCACGCCGTACTTCGCCACTGAGTGTTCGTCGACGGCTGCGGCCATACATTTACCCTAGACGGCCAGAAGTCATGGTGGAGTGCGACAGGGAGTGGAGGGCGTAACGTTAAGTGTGCGACCAACGAGGACGAAACTTGACTATGACCATGGCAATACCACCTATCAGATGTTTTCCTTGGCAGCTGCTGGAGTAATGAATACTGTGTCGGTTTTTTTTTTCTGGCACGGGCGAGGAAAAAATGGATCCCCATAACTCGGTGGTCTTTGGGTATGACGGGGTGCCAGCCCACCGAGATTTGGCCATTCCCGCCCAATACGAGCACAGCTTATGCTTCCCCCTTCGACATCGTTGACATCGTTTAAGTTGTCTGAAAGCGACACCAAAGGCCGAAGGCCGGCCGACATCTCGAGTCCGGAAATTAAAAGACGTATAACAGGAATGGGGGCAAAGCCCTAGCAATCTCACTAGCGGAGTTCGGAAACAACAACTGCAGTGCTTGAAGCTCTGCCCAGAGGATGACATTGTGACGCAGCTAAATGCGCTAAAGGGTACTATTTCATGCAAACCTACCTCCCAAAATGTTTAATAATAAATAGCGAGGTTTTTGAAGGATATTCATTTAACGGACTGAAATTCAGGCCAGATTTGTTTGAATTTCTATTGTTTAATTGAAAATCGATTTTGTATATTAAATGTAAAGAACACTCAATTGATTGTACATGCGCATTAATGTTTGTCATATCCATCCTAAGGTTGTCCAGGAATGCTATTGAATTGCAAATAGTGTCATAAAAATGTTAATGAATAGTGTTTGCACTTTAATGTTTGTCTATTGTCCCTACTGACTTTCAAGATGGTGTTAATGACTTGGATGTTGGCGTTAATGAAAGTATATTTTTCTCTTTTGTACGTCGAATGACGCAAATGAATGCCCAAAAATGTTATTGAATGTTGATTAAAATGCAAAAATCGTTATTGAATCTGATTTAGGCGCAAATGTTCGCTTTTTTGCGCTAATGAATGTATCTTCGCGCTGTTGGTCGCTGTTTCACACAAATCAATACGTATTTTCTCGTAATGAACAGCAAAAGGTGTAATTAAATAAACATGGAGACGTCTTTAAGAACTGGCTTTGCCCAAATTTTCTCTCGCTGCCCAAAAAATCTGAGTTGCCCAAAATTTGGGGGGGCTGCAGCCCCCCTCGCCCCCCCGGCCCGTACGCCTATGTTTTTGCCATGGGGCTGAAACTCGGGACCCCAGAGCCGAAGCCGATCCAATTGGGATTCGGGACCGCTGAATAATGAACCCGCTGACCACTCGCTTACGCTGCCTCCTTTCCAACCTCCTTCCCTACTTAACTTGCACACATGTCCAATAAACACAAACGGATACGATTCGTCAAACTGATGGTCCATTGGTGAAAATGGTACGATTGGTACCAATAGAAAAGCACCCTATTCCAATGGTTCTGTTGGTGCATATGCATCTAATTAAGGGGACTTAGATTATTTTCCCATGTGACCTGGTTGGGTACAGGGCAATTCCAATGGTCCATTGGTACCAATGGTACGATTGGTACCAATGGAAAAGCACCCTATTCCAATGGTTCTATTGGTGAGTATGCTTCTCATTAAGGGGACTTAGATTATTTTCCCATGTGACCTGGTTGGGTACAGGGCAATTCCAATGGTCCATTGGTACCAATGGTACGATTGGTACCAATGGAAAAGCACCCTATTCCAATGGTTCTATTGGTGAATATGCATCTCATTAAGGGGACTTTGATTATTTTCCCATGTGACCTGGCTGGGTACAGGGCAATTCCGATGGTCCATTGGTACCAATGGTGCGATTGGTACCAATGGAAAATGATGCCATT